ACATAAACACTTGCTCAGGTTTGTATATGCAATCGTGACAATACAAAAAACACTTGCTCAAGCATAAGTTTAATTCCCCAAGTTTTATGTTAATAGTACTGAGAAAGTAGAAACTTAACCACACTGTGGTGTTTAGAGGCAAGCCATTTGGGAGGTGATTAATCAGATAAAATTAATTAGGATGATTGAATCCTGATGGCTTTATATGGGGGTGGGGGAGAGACCACACACAGAAGAGACAGACATGCCTCTTACGTCATGTCTTATCTCATGATGAAATGTAGCCAAAGGTAGACTCTTATTAGAACCTGCAGGATACTGTTTGGATTTACAGACTCCAAAACTGAACTAAATGTATTATTTTCTCTATAAAGTAGTCCGCCTCAGGTGTTTTGTTACAAGTAACAAATAGCTGACTAATGCAACACTCAATGATACACTAGTCCACATTATATAGGTACATTGGAAGGATATAAGGCGGGTGTGTAGGATGAGTCTAGGGATAGGGAGAAGATCTAAGTACCTCTGGTGGGAGTCAAAGGCTGAGCTATCAGCAAGGGCAACATAGGGGTTCGCTTTAGAGATGTGGGGGCAAACACAAAAAGAATCAGCTAAGAGCTGAAATGGAAGCCTTGGAAGAGGAGGCACGGAGCCAGCCTTGTAGGACAGCTTCACTCTGTGCATGCAAAATTTCAACCTGAAAAAAAAATTAATTTTAAAGTGACCCTATCATCCCTATCCTTTCTTCTGAGGCTAAATAATTGTCAGGATATTTTTGCTGTCTTTCAGCTTTGGGAGTGATTTCTTTAGAAGCTATTTGAAGCAGATAGGCTGCAGCCCATAAACAAGATTTAGAAAGACCCAGGGTCTGGGCCATGCCCAGATCACCAGCCTGTGGTACCCAGATGGGGCAGTGGAAGGCAGTCAGAGGCCGCAGGCAGGCCTTCTCCCTACCTGCCCTAAGCTCAGGAGCCCGGCTTCAGGCCGTGCAGAGGTCATCCCTGGTAGACACAAGGACACTCTGGGCCTGGAAACTGGAAACCTGAGTCACATCATGCCACACTCATCATGTTTACAGAAAGCATGATCATTATGTACAGGAACAGAAACATTGAGCTAATTGACTTTTAAAGACATCAAATACAGCAGACAAACAGAACATAGAAACTCCGCGTGTGAAAGAGGCACTGTGTCCCAACCCAGCAGGTGCCCTTGTCAACAGTCTGTTCCCCACCCCACCCCACCACCACCACCACCCTCTTCCACCCAGAACCTTCTCACGCCTCACTCTCAGTAAAGGGCAGACCCTTCTTCATTTCATAAACCCCCGTTTTCCATGAAGAACCCAAGTTAAGAAAACAGAACTTTCTTCCCAGACCACTCAAGCCCCTGAGCCAAGTCTCTAGAGCTCCCTAGGGCCCGGTTCTCTAAGCAAGTTCCAGAGAAGGCTCTGGGTAATGGTGAGTCATGAGGCTCCCATCCCTGGGCCGCCGAGAAGACAGGCCCACCCTGGGCTGCACCTTCCAGGAAGTCTCTCCTGGCTTCTTCTGGGAAGCAAATGTTCTGCCTATCCCAGAGTTGGGAAGACAGGGACAGGGACTTGAGACTTAGGGGTAAGTCCTCCCAGACAAGGCCGAGAGCCAGTGGCAAAGTTACTGACAACCAGTGACAAAGGGAGGAAAAATTAAGGACAAAAGAGGATATGTTTAGAAAGAACTGTGGTGTTTTGTTTTGTTTTGTTTTCCTTCCTGGGGTGCGACGCTTCTTATGCCTTTGTTTTAAAATCAACACCTTTTAAAACTGAAATGTTGGTGATTCTGGATGACATCTTTTTTTTCCAATGTCCTTACCTGGCAAAATTGAAAGTTGATACCTCTAGTCCCTCCTCGAGAGAAATTTTGTTTCTGGAATAAATATGTCTGAGAGAGATCATGGTTGACATAAAAGAAAATCAAGACCCCCTCGGGGGCCAGAGCCACAGGTTCCAAGGGACAGGAGGCACCCGGCATTTCTCCCTCCCTGTAGACAGTTCTAATCATTAGAAAAATGTCTGCTTGTACATTTGAGAAATCTGCACTGTCCTTGAGCCTGGAAGGACACCTAGACCACCTGGAGCCAGGTCTTTGCTCTTCCAAGGCCAAAGACAGCCATCTGCCTACCGGAAAACAGGATCTGCCCCCCTGTGCCCCACCTCCACCCTTCCAGCTTTCTCCGGATGACTAGGGTGTATCTGCTCCTCTGTCATCGTCCCGTCCTCCCCTCTCCCCTCTCTCCCCCTCTCCCTCCCCAGCTTTAGGCTTATCCCTCTTGTGGAGTCATTGCCCAAGATCACACAGCCAGCAAGTGAATTCAAACCCAGACCCTGCACTCCTGGACTGGTGATACCCTGTCCCCAACCTCTCTACATGGGGCAATGGCTCCAGGTCTTCAATTCAAGAGATGGTTCTAGTAGTTTTAGATCAGTTGGAAAAGCAACAACAATAGCACAAAACACAACCACAAACTACTAGAGGAAACCGGAAATGCAAGACACTAACAAATTGTCATGGAAGAAGTTCAAAGGAAATAGGCCTTGGCTTATTAGGTCATGGCTGACAGCCTTTGAAGTGAACTAATGGATAGGTTTTCCCTTAGTTTGGCTCTTCTGTGTTCTCTACAATGAACTGGCCTTCATTTATAAAAACAGAGTAAAATGATAGTAAAATGATGATCCTTTAGGAAGGTCAAACAAGAAAAGCAAAATTCAATTTATGTTGCCCAAGACTCAACTTCCTAGACATTCTTCAATGAACGAGAACTCTAAAGAAGTCCTGAGGTCTCAGCTCTACCCTGGGGCTGACCTCACTTCATCTGCCCCTCACCTGTTCTTCTGGAGCCCTGTTGCCCCATCCCCATTGGGCTTCTGCCCCTGAAACAGGGAGGAGCAGACCCAGTATAAAGGAGGAGGCAGAGGAAGACAGTTCACCCTGGCTGGGTCCCCTGTTTAGTACATGTGAAACATGCAGAATGTTGGTTAGGGTTTCTCCTATGGGGTTCAATACACAGCCTCTAAGCCTTCAGGGGCAAGACTAGAGCTAAATAAGGGGTTTGGAGCCACTAAGACCCTCCCTGCCAGCCCTCTAGGGTTGGCCTTTCCCCTGGAACCTCCCAGACACATAATCAGTGCTCAGCCAAGGCCTGGGCAGAAGTAGGAGCCCACAGGAGAGTCCCACAGGATTCCTGGGGCAGGATGGTGTTGTCTCTACCACCCACAGCCATAGGTAAGTTTGACTTTTTGGACCTCAGCAAGGTGGGAAATACCTTGAAATGACTACACCGAGTGGTCTCGAGATTTCTTTCCAGCCTTAAAACATTCAGAGACTAAGGCACTAACCAGTGACCCCACCCCTTACCCTTGGATAGACAGAAGCTCCCCATCTAGTCTTGCCTCTTTGGCTACCTCAATCTGAGTTGATTTAGGGCACTCCTAATATCTCACATGCCTGAACTTGAGTGGGTACAGGGTGATTTCATATGGTTGCTGAGACATAGTGGTGGTCAGCACACCTGTCCTGAGAGTGGCCTCCACTATCATCTCTATTTCAAGCCCAGCTTTGTGTTTTTCTGTCCCGTCTCTGTCTGTGCCCCTGAATAAGGCCTGTGACTTGGGAGTCACGTAGCCATTGGTTGAATAATTCTGTATGTCCCCACATCATGTCTCCCCCTCAGGAGCCAGCCCATCCTCCATGGCCCGGGGCCTCTTCCTTGCATGGACCTCAACCTGTTCCAGACAGGAAGGAAGGTGGGCTCTCATTGCACAATGACAAACTCAAATCATTATTCCACCAAGATCTGAATGACAAATAGGGAAGTCTGACAGAGCCGTGATTTGTGAACCTGACATCGCTTCTTGGGATGTACAAATTTTAATTAAAATCTCAGGAGCGACTGGGGAGTCCTTTTAATGTGTACATCTAGACTCGGTCAGGCCACCATGGGGGGAGGCCAGGGCCTCAGCCTAACAGGGACAAAGGCTCAGTGACTGTCTCTAATGGACTGGAAGGCAGGCAGGATCTGCTCTGGCTACTCCTTCACTCCACCCATTTTATAGAGAGCAGTTCAAGACCCAGGGAAGTGGCTCACACAAAGATGTATCCATATCAAGGGCATAGTGTGTGTGTGTGTGTGTGTGTGTGTGTGTGTGTGTGTGTGTGTGTCCCATCTGTCATCTATCCTGGGTATTCAGAATGTAGGATTCAACCCAGGAAAAGGAGAGAGGGCCAAGAGACTGCAAGTATTTGACTCACCTTCTATCCAATGGAAGCCCTGGCACAAGGCAGTCTGGCTAAGCCAGGGCAGAGATGAAGAGAGGTTGTCAAGAACAGAAAGCAAAAGGGTCCTTACTTTTCTGGCTACACCCAGGGAAGTTAGAAGGTGGGTTGGGAAGACAGTTCCCTGGCTCCAAGTCTTGCATGTCCTGGATTCTCAGAAAAGAACCTGAGAAGGACTAGAGAGAGCTGGGTAGATGGCCCAATGTGGCTCCCTGACTTCCTAAGGCTCTGACAGCCCTGTGTGGGACCCAAATCTTCCCACCCTCACCCTGGTTTGGGGCACAAAGCATAACAGAAGGAAGGAGCTGGTACAGGGGTCTCTGGGGTGATGGAGTGAAGTAAATGGTGAGCAGCAGAGGTTCACAGGCAGGCCTGGGAATGGGGTGAGCAGAGCCAGCCTGAGCTTCTAGCTGAGGCCACATCTCCAGCTGTGAAACCTGGCTGAGTGGCACACACGGCTCCTAGGCCTCACCTGTGATACAGCAATGGTGAGCACCCCTATCCTGCCAGATCTGATAGGAGATGGAGGGCAAATAGAAGCATGTAAGAGAGCCTCTGGAGCCTACATCCTGCTGGGAGGTGCCAGGCCCCCTGAACATTCCTCAGCATTGAGGACCCACCTAATCCCACCCCTGCCACATCTCCCTCACCCGTTAGTCCCCATGACACTGGCCCCTGCCCTGGACTCACCCTCAAGGCCGGCAGGGAGCTGATCTGCTCCATGGTCAGTGTGGCCTCCTTGTAGCACTTTCCCACAGGGCAGAGCTTCAGGAAGGTGTCATGGATGCTGAGGAGAGAGGCAAGAGGAGACATGCTGGGTGTGTGGAGTAGGCAAAGGGGCTAGTCAGCCTCTCTCCCATGTGGGAGCATCCTTTTTAGAGGAAGGGAACTGAAGATGAATTGATGTGGAAAGGGGGGACAATAGCCAGGCATGGTGGCATACACCTGTGAATCAGCTATGAGGGAGGCAGAGATGGGGAGGATCAAGGTTTGAGGCTTGCCCCAGGCAAAAATGAGATCCTATTTCAAAAATAACTGAAGCAAAAAGAGCTGGAGGTGTGATTCAATGGTAGAGTACCTGCGGAGCAAGTACAAGGACCTGGATTCAGACTCCAGGAACACCTTTTTTTTTTAAGCCCACAATAAATCTTTCCACTATTCTAGAGACATCCCAGAGCCCTCTGGGGTTCACAGAACATCTCAGGATGCAAAAATAAACCCAGCAGAAGGAGAGGTGACCAGCTGTGCTCCACCACCTGGAACACACTCCTCAAGTGATTGTTCTAGAATGCCACAGCTGGCAGGTACTTCGGTGATGGCTCAGTCCAATCCCATAGGCACCAGTGGAGAAGCTGGGATCCCTGTCCTGGCTATGCACCCACCCCCATCGTCAGCACAGAGGCAACTCAATCCTGGTGAGCCAGGATCAGAACCTTTGTCCTGGCAGCTCATAGATGTGCCAGCCCACTGGCAGCAAATGGTCCCAGTAAAACATAGAACTGAATGGTTTCAAGTCCTCCTGGCTCTCTGCTGGGCTCCATACTAGCACTAGTGGAATCTGCAGAGGGTAAAATGGCTCTGTAATCCCAGAGAAGAAAAGAACAGAAGGGAACGCTATCCTAGGCTACTAGAAGATGTCCCTCACACCCCATCCTGGACACGAGTCCTGGTCTACCAACAGACTCTTGGATATACAAAACCACGTACCAGACAGCCAGTGGAGAAGAGAGGATAATGCCTAGGATCCTGGAGATCATACACTTCTCCCTGCATGACTGTGTGACCTTAGGAAACTTGGTTATCGCTTCTGAGCCTTTGTCTCATCATCGGGATAAAGGGTGATTAATATGTCTTTTGGAGGGCTGTGGTACAGTTCAGTATGAGCAAGAGGACTCTGTGTGTAGGTGTGCACATTAATCGTGTGTGTGTGTGTGTGTGTGTGTGTGTGTGTGTGTGTGTGTGTGCACATTAACCTTACTGAGTGCCAAGAGACAAGTAATTAAATCAAACTAATTCACACTCAGGAGTGAGTGACTAAAAGCTCCCTCAATATCATTCCCTGTATGGGTTTGGTAAATTCAATTGACCTTTTGGTTGGTGCAACTGAGGGACACATGAGCAGTGAAGAACTATGGAGGGAGACCTTATGTCAGAGATTCAGAGGTAGAGGAGGAGGCTCCCCCAGAGCCCCAGAGCCTGCCTCCAGCCGCTCATCTTGTCACAGCTCACTGACTAGAAAACATCCTGTCGATCTCTGCCATGGGAGAGTGGAAAGAAAACAAGCTGTGGTTCTGTTTGCCCACTGCCCTGCCCAGCTCTGCACCCCAGGAGGTTGAACTCTCCCAACCGCATGCAGTCCATTCCCTCGCCCTTAGCCTTCCAGAAGGCCATGAGAGAGGGGTCAGGATCCATCCTGTGTCCTCTCAGGCTCAAGGGAGGCTCTGGCCATATCTGTGTCCTTCCTGCTCAGGCCCTAGGGGCCAGCTGCCACCTCCACTCTCAGCTGGGTACCTCCGGCCCAGGGTTGATGATGGTGGATCAGCCCTCAGCCCTCGGCCTCTGAAGATTTCCTTCTCTCCATTTCACCTTCCAGGACCCCTTGACCTGCGTGGCTTTCACTTTCCTTATGTGCAAAGGAGATTGTGGTCCCTGCCTTGTCTGCTTCCTGCTGGGAGGAGATAGATCAAGTGGACAGACACATTCAGATCCTGTCCATCTACTATTAGCTGTGTGACCACAGGCAAGTTGTTGCACTTCTCTGTGGATTCTGATTTTGACCATCTAATGGGAGGCAATCATGTCTGAACGGCACTGGCTGGCTCAGGGAGGGTCTGGGGGATGAATAGGAACTGAAATGTTTCATGACACTCAGGGACAGTGCCACAGCCCTGCTGGCCTCATGGAGGGACCCCCGCACTGTCATCAGAGGCTCCCTGGAAGTTAGGGTAGGGGGACACCCTGTCCTGGAGGTGTTGGGATGGGAGGTGGGCCGTGCAGGTCACAGGAGGCAAGGACAGCCATCTCCGCTGGTGACTCTAGTGGCCTCTAAGGAGCCTGGCAAGTGGGGAATGGCTGAATGCACCAATAGGAACCTACTGTCATTGTCATTGTTGGAACTGCTGGAGTAGTGATCTCACACACACACACACACACGCACACACATACACACAAAGCAGCAGGCCATTTTTGCTGGTTTACTAACAGTTCTCTCAGGTAATGTGCCCCAGATGACTGTACCTACTGTCCCCACTGGGAAGGACCACCAAGAGTGCTTGCTGCATGATCCTGCCCTCGTGGGCATTCCTCATCTTTCCTGACAATCCTGCAGGGCAAGCACCGCTATTGCCCTTACAGAAGAGGAAACTGAAGGTGTTGGAGGGGAAGTGACTTGCATAGGGCCACATGGTAGTAGTGTTACAGCCAGGACCACCGACACCAAAGCTCTCTACCAGGAGTCCAAGGAAGAAGCACCAAGGGAAAGAGGACCAGCTTCCCTCACCATCCCTCTCCACGTGCCAGATGCATTCACATCCACGCAGACTTCTGTGACAGATGGGGTGATCTTTCCTACATACAGATGGGTAAACTGAGGACCAGAGAGTGTGTGCAAGAGACAGTAGAGGAATGATCCTAAAACAGCTTCTTTGGGCTGTGCTGCCCACCTCCTGAAGTGTCTGTCCTCCCCCTTGCAGGCAAGTGAGATTCTTGTTTCCTCCAAAGCCTCTAAGGCTAGAGCGCTGCCCAGACTCCATGCCTTTCCAAGCAGTCATGGGACTGGCTGCCGGCAGACAAATCCTGGCTGCATCACAGCTGCCACAAAATGTTCTCCTCCTCCAAATATGGATCAGCTGACTCTAAATGGAACTCCGAGTTAATCACTAATGGACTCAAAAGTCAAAGCCATTTGAGAAACTCACACATTCAAGCCTGCCAGCAGCCAAGCAGCCCGGGCGTGGCTCACTTCCACCCTGGACTCAGAGATTAAGAAAGGCTCTACAAGGCTGACCACCACCCCCAACTCTGCAAGTGACCTGGAACCCACCATGCCCCTCACAGGCCTCCGTTTCTCCTCTACAATGAAATCTCAGTGAATCCCATCCCCACTCCCACTCCCTCCGGTTTAGGGCATCCATCATTCTAGCTTTCTTATTCACCTCTTTGTCTTTGAGACTCCTGAGTTCAGAGTTTCCCAATTGGAATCATGTATGAGTTTGTAGAAAGATCTTGTGACCCCCTAGCCTAGACCCTGGCCTAGCCTCCTAGACCCTGGACAGGACCTAGGTATCTACAGGTTGCAACCACAAAACCAACATGGATTCAATGCAAGTTGGGTTTCCACTCCTCTGGTCCTCATCTGGGCTCAGCAATCTAGGATTCTCCCCAAGTCCCCGAGTCAGCAATCTATTGCCCTATGGTCTGGCCTGGGAATCTTTCTAAATGGCCCTTTGTGAGACCGGAAATATAGCTTGTCATCTCCTGCTCTGCTTCTTCCAAGCTGTGTGACCTTGGGAAAAATCACTGCATTTCTCTGAGCCAGTTTCCTTATTTTCAGAAAGAGATAATAGTCCCAGGATGATGACAGCTTCCACAACTCCCGCACTGAGTCGTGTGCCAGGCATTGCTCACACGATGACATGGATCCCGTCATCTCTCTGTCCTCCCGATGACTTTGAGAGATTAGGTGCTATGACTCATCTTACACGGGTTTCTAAGTACAGAAACTGAGGCTCAGGAGAGTAAGACACTCAACCCAGTCATACAGCTAGTGAGTGTGGGAGCTAAGCCTCAAATTCAAGCTTTTGACTTCTACAAAGTAACCGTAACACTCTACCTGCTGACCTCCACATGCTCTGGGAGGGGGTCCTCCCATTAACTTCTGGGTCAGAAGTTAATGGCTGGCCAAGACACAATGTGGAGATTGTGTTAGGGGTCTCCAGGGTGCAACGAAGAAAAAGTGACCTTGTTAGGATCCAGTGGTAGTTCACTTGCCTAGTATATATGAGACCTTGGGTTTGATTCCCTGTAAGGAGAGGGGAGGGAAGGGGAGGGGAGGGAAGGAGAATTAAGGACAGGAGAGGAGAGGAGAGCAGAGCAGAGCAGAGCAGACTAGGCAGGAGCTAGGAGTGAAGCTTTATGCCCCTCAAGCAGCCCCATTCTCAACCCAAAGCAGGGCAGGAGAAATTCTTGCATGGAACAGAGTTAATGCAGAGAGTTCCACCCAAGCCTGGCCAGCAGGGCCAGAGGGCTCTAGATCAGGCTGCGTCCATGAAGCCACCTGTGTTCTCTTTATGGACCCAGCCAGAAGGGTCTGAGCTCCTAAGAGGCTTCTGGGAAGTAAGGGCTTCTGGAACATCCAAGAAACTGGATGCCAGAGAAAGCCTTGAAGCTTAGACTGAAAGGGATCAAGCTTTCACAGAGGGAAAGAAAAGTCCCACAGGCTGGAATTTTAGGTTTCACAGAAGCAGCCATGTGTCTGTCATACATAGTCTGCTCTCCCCAGAGGGATCTGGGATCCACAGATCTAAAGACCTGGGCTGGCCTATGACCTTGTGTGGATCACAGCTTCTGTCTACTACTCCCTTGGACACTTTTTCCCCTCATGAACAAAGCTCTGTCCAACCTTGTTATCATCCAGGCCACGTTTCTCTGTCACATTCATAGGAAAATTACAACCTATTATCAGATGTCATATAGTAAAATTGTTGGAAGCTGACCGAGGCAGGAAAGTCTGTTAAACAATTAGCTCCACTAAACTACTAAAAAAAAAAAGCCAGAAGTGGAACTGTGGTTCGAGTGCTAAAGTAACAGCCTTGAGCAAAAGCAGCTCAGGAACCCGCAGCCAGGCCCTGAGTTCAAACCCCCACGTGTATCTAATAGCATTCTCTCTGTGTGTATCAGTTTAGCTTTCCAAAGCAATACAGTTAAACAGGCTAACAGCACAGTTTATGCTATAAAGTTTATAAGTAAAATGGCCAATCCCAGCACTCCACACCACCTCTCTACCCCTCTTCTCAAAGGCAACATTTTACAAACATCTTACTAGTCTTCTTGGCTTTTCACTTAATAGTTGCATAGTATTTCTGTATATCATGCTGGTACTGCCAATTGTCAACACAATTAAAGACATTATTATGTGACATCCTCCAATAAAAACAGGATTTATTTTCCTCCATGTCTCCTTTCTCCAACCTCCCAATATAAAATAATTTGTGTGAATTGATATTCACTGTACATTACTATTCTGAATAATTGTTATTAAAAACATTACTCACAACTAAGCTCCCTAAGTGTCACAAGATTACTTTTTTTTTTCAGTACAGGGGTTTGAACTCAGGACCCTGAACTTGCTGGGTAGGCACTCTACCACTTGAACTGCTCATTTTATATTGGTTATTTATTCGTCTCATTTCATGTCCTAATCAGCCTGAACTATGATCATTCTATTTGTGACACCCATGTGACTAGGATGACAGACACCACTGCACCCAGCTATTTTTCTTACTTTGTCCCTTGGGATCACAGGTGCATGCTACTGGGCCTATTCATTGCTGGAGATAGGTAGTTTCAAAAAGTGTTTTGTTGTTGTTTGGTTTTGTTTTTTGGTCCAGACTAGCCATGAACCACAATTCCCTGATCTCCACCTTCCCCAAGTATCTAGAATTACAAGCTTGATTACTAGCCCTGCTACAATTTCTTTCTTGCAAGTCTTTTTTTTCCAGGAGTTGATACTCAGGTTCCTGGACCTCTCTGGGTGCTTCATCCTATCACCCCAACCCTAGAGCAATTTGGCTTAGCTAACTCTGTATCATGTGTCTATATGCTTTGCACTTTTTACAGTTTTGTTGGCTTTTCTCGTCTACTACTGATCTCTTAGGTTCTTTTTGTCCTTATGGTTTCTTTTTCTTTTAATTCTCTACTCTTAATAGAGAAAACAGAGATAGAAGCTATTGTGTTTTCCATGTTAACTGGAAGCCCCTAAATTTACTCTCTGAATGTAATCATTTGCTTTGGCCTTCTCATATTATTATTGGAATATAAACTCGGGGTCTTGTGTTCTTGCTTATGGCTGGTGTTCTTCCACTTGAACCATGCCTTCAGTTTTGACTTTTTGCTGGAGTCTCACAGACTTGTCTCACCAAACCACAGTCTTCCAGGTCTCACCCTCCTGAATAGCTAAGATTGCAGGCGTGAGTCTCTGATTCCAAGTGCTCTTCTTTTTTCTAAGGTCAGAATCCCATTGACTTGTCTATGAGCATTGATGCAAGCAGAGGGTCATGCAAAGTGCCTTTCCTATTTTGAAGCATGGGAATGTTCAAGCATCTCCAGGCCTTACCACTTGTTGCACATCCTCAGTTGCTTCCCAGGCCATGGTCTGAACAGACCACCTTAAGACCTGGATGGATAGCTCAGGAGGGAGGAGTTCCTGAGGCTGGCTTTTTTCCTCAGAAGACTAATACAGAGCAAAGGAGAGGAGGGGAGAAGGCAATGTTCGAGAAAAGAATCCCAGATATCTCCCATACTCCTCCCTCTTCTCAGGTACTCATTATCACCAGCAAACCTGCCACTAACACATTCATCCTTGGGGTCCAAGGATACTATTCAAAGGTGCCAGGTATGGAAAGGAGCCTGACCATGTTCTATTGATGAGAGGACAAACCAATGAAACCTCTGTAAGGACCCTCGTCATGCTATCAGCTTTTAAATACATCTGCTCCTTTCCTAGCACTTTTGTTTCTTTGTGGATTTTTTTGTTTGGTTTGGGGTTTTTTGTTTGTTTGTTTGTTTGTTTGTTGCAATACTAGGGTTTGCACTTACTAAGCAGAAATTCTACTATGTTTTGCTTTCGTTATTTTTCTGATATATCTAACACTTTTGCCTAGGCCAACCTCAGACCATGACCCTTTAACTTCTGCTTCTCATGTAGCTGGGTTATAAACATAAGCAACTGCATCTGGCTTTTTTTTAACTTTTTTTTTTTGGTTAGTCATGGGGCCTGAACTCTGGGCCTGGGCGCTGTCCCTCAGCTCTTCAGCTCAAGGCTAGCGCTCTACCACTTGAGCCACAGTGCCACTTTTGGCTTTTTCTGCTTATGTGGTGCTGAGGAATCGAACCCAGGGCCTCAGGCATGCAAGGCAAGCGCTCTACCACTGAGCCACCTTCCCAGCCCCTGGAAACTCTTATCTCCACTAAACTACCCAAAAGCCAGAAGTGGGGCTGTGGCAAAAGCGGAAGAGCTCTAGCCTTGAGCAAAAAAAATATCTCAGGGATAGCATCCTGGCCTTGAGTTTAAGCCCCAGGACCAGCACAGACACAGACACAGACACAGACACAGACAGACACAGACACACAGACACAGACACACACACACACACACACACACACACACACATACACACACACAAGGGAAACAGCACAATCCTGGGTTCCCTGGTCTCTGGAGCTCCTTGTGACCTATTTGTACATGGGGAGTCTCATACTTGTGGCCTCCAGGCTAGACATGGGGTAGGGGTAGGTTTAGTTCAAGCCAAGAGGATGAGGGGAGGAAAAGGGACCCCAAGTCTAAATGGTCTCCCCACCTTTACCCAAAACTTCCTGGTGTGAGAATAGGGCCTTTGGCCACTCACCCATGAGCCCAGTGCCTTCATGATGTCTCTCTCATACACAGCAATCCCTAGAAAGAGCCCTGGAGGGAAAGTCTCAGAGACAGGCTGAGAGTCAATGATGCATCCAAGTTCCCCAGCCAGTGGGTGACTGGGATGGGCATCAGCCCTACGATTCCTAAGCCTTTACTCTTTCCACATTATCCCAAAGAAGCCCTGCCAGCTCTATGACACTAGGAAGAAGTCCTGTCTTGGGTGGCCGAGAAGACATCATAGCCCGAGCCTGATGTTGCTCTAGTTGCAGCAAGGCCTCGGGACTGGCATCCTTCTCTGCCTACTGTCCAACTACAGCCCCAGGGCTGTATAGCTCTGAGCAGGGACTACATTCAGAGACCAAAGTGAGGCTGTATCGGAGAAGACCCCAGCTTGGGCTGGGGTGGGGGAAAAGAAAGAAAGGGATAGCAAGGTCTTCTACTTACCACAGGATTTCATTTCTGGTCAGGAAAGTCAGAGCCTGGAACAAATCAAAGAGGTGACCTGACACTTAGTCCAGCCCCTTCCTGGCTCCTTAGGGAAAAGGGAGTGGGGAGCTGCAGGGCAGGGGTGGAAAAACCCTGCTCTCATCTCATAGATGGGAAATGGAGACACTCCAGACTGAGGTAGGGAATGTCTGAGAAGGGCAGAGGAGGAAATGGTGCCCTCCCCTTCTCCCTGTCATGGCAAGAGGCATAGCAGCACAGAGACGAGATAAGAAGCAGAGCCCAAGCCTGGGCTCTGGAGCAGGAGACGCTGGGGGAAGGAAGCAGGAAGACTGCTCTAGAACCATGTAGGAGTTCTTGCCTTCGCCCCACCTGTCCTGGGAAGCCCCCAGCATTTCTGGCCTGACCTACCCACCTGGTACTCTTCCAGGTCTTCCCAGTGCATCTGGTACCTCAAACACTGCCCCATGCCAACCCCAGCCTCTGTCCTGCCAGCAACAGAACCTCAACCCAAGGGCTCATCAGTTGCTACAACCACTGGATCCAGTTGCCATGGTGACCTGCATTCTACCTTTTGCCCCTGAGTTGGCAGAAGTTGTTCCAGAGTTCTTTTGATTCCCCTGGGCTAAGAGACATCATCCTTAAAACAACAAATGGAAGGGAAGCACAATAACAGCCTTGAGAGACATGCTGTTGGCTCAGGAGTCACCCTGCCTGGGATCGAATCCCAGATCTGCCACATGATGACTATGTAGCCAAGGGCAAGCTACACAGCCCGTGCCCTCATCAGTGAAGTGGGGATGATAACCCAAGGACTGCGATGGGAATTCGAAACGCTGATGCTGATAACAAAGCCGGGCACATAGTAAGTGCCAGTGCAAGTGTGAGTATCATGTCCCAAATATTGTGTTGGGTGTGGGATACAGAGATAAAGAATCACAGACCACAACCTCAGGGGTAACCTAGAGAACACAGAAAAAGGTCTTCTGTGCCATGAATCAGATCCCTGAAGGAATAGAGAGTTCATTCAAATTCCATGACATAAAGTTTCAATACAGGCGCTCTGCATAGACGTGAAGTCACAGGTAGAAAACCACTCAGGACAGAGTCCACTTGGGCCTCCTGACAACTAGCTGCCACCAGCCCTGACCAAAAGCATCTGGAATGAATACCTCAGCATCATGCTGTGCTCTCCCTCTGACCCGGAGGACCGAGAGCTGGGGATGGGACATGGGGGGAGTGGGACAGGCACAATTCTCCACAAATGCAACCACACACTATTTCCTTGTCTTCCCTCCACGGAGACAGAGCCCTCTTTCTTTTACTTACTCCACAGCTGCTGGTGCCAGGGACTCCAGGGAGAGATGACTGAATGCAGTCTCAGCCCTCAGGAAATGTACACTAGACACACACACCCATGCACACAGATCACACACATGCATACTCCAATATGTGTGCACAGAGACCAGTGTCATCAGAGCTACAGATGCACAGGGCAGGAAGTCTTCATGTAGACAGTAGCACTTAAATGTCTGTGACACATGGTGCTTGAGAACATGGGCTTTGAAATATTAAGTTCTGGCTGCTCTGTAAGCAAATCCTAAAACCACTCTAAAGCCTCAGCTTCCTCGTCTGCAAAATGGAACTACTAAATGCCTATTTTATCATTATTGCAATGATAAAATTAAATGATCAAGCAGGGAAAGCTCTTATTTAATAAGCTATCTGGTACATCCTGAGTACTCAATAAAGGGTAAATGATATTGCTTTGTACATGTACTGGAATTGGGTTTGAACTCGGGGACTGAGTGTTGTCCCTTAGTTTTTTGTACTCAAGTCTGGTACTCTACTATTTGAGCCACAGCTTTACTTCCAGCTTTATACTGGTTAATTAAGAGTCTCACAGACTTTTCAGCCTGGGCTGACATCTAGCGGATAATACTTTCAGAAGTTGGAGCTGCAGCCGGGCAAATTCATGCCTGTAATCCCAGCTACTCGGGAGGCTGAGATCTGAGAATTGTGGTTCAAAGCCAGTCCAAGCAGCAAAGTCCATAAAACTCTTATCTCCAATTAACCATCAAAATGCCAGAAGTAGTGCTGTGGTTCAAGCGGTAGAGTGCTAGCCTTGAGCAAAAATAAAACTTAGGGACAGTGCTTAAGCCATTACTTCAAGTCCCAGGCCTAGCACATATACACCCACAAGTTGGAGCTGGAAGCATGCACAGGACTTCAGCAGGCAAAGTCAGATGTTAAATCCTCATCTTCTGCTAAATCCTAGAGCTTCTGCCCAGTCATTTACTGGGCAGCTTCTATCTGCCAGGGGTGGCTCAGAAGCCGAGTTTGCACAACCTCACCACAGCCCTCATTCACTCTGGGGAAGCTGCTGAGATTAAATGATGTGTGAGGGATGGACGAACTGCATGTCTGGGAGTCTCCCAGTGTGGTCCACTGCAGAAAGCCAGAACATCTAAGGGATTTCATACAGGAAGCTGCTGCCTTCCGTTTTGTTCAGTCCACCTTCTTGATTACACAATTACATGAGGTGCGAATGGCAGCTTGACACCAGCCTGTTGTGTCTTTAACACTCAGCTGACACTTTCTAAAAGGAAGACAACAAAAACAGAGAGAATTGCCCTGCAACTCAGAGCTTTTGGTTCCTGACTCAGCCTCCATTTGTTGGCTGGGCAGCAGAGGTCCAGGAATAAGACAAACAACAGCTTGCCCTGCAGGAACCAGAAACACACTGTCCACCAGTGTATACTAAACACCCTCCATCCACCAGTGTAAACCCACACTGCCAGGGTATGTGTGAGAGGCAGAAATAGAGGACCAGCCACAGGCTGGCCCTGCAGTGGTGGGGGTGGGGTGGGGTGGGGGTCCTGAGTGGCCACTGAGGATGTCACCACCCCACAGCGAGTGAGTGAAAGCCTGGCTGAGAAGACCAGGACAGTGTTCTAGACTGCCTTGGGATCCAGCTAGGACAGAATAACAGTGTCTGGTTTCCATAGATGTTTTATAGAGTACCTTCCCTTCTGAAAATGATGCAGGTTCGTCATTTACAACTCTGATATAATGTTTCCTTTACAAATATAGCCCTTTAATAAAAAAAGAAATAGGAGCCCATTTAAAGAAAAATATTAAGTAAATATTTTTACTGGTGGTAAAGGAATGTGACAGAAATCACAAAGATCTCCCCTTCCCCCCTTTTTCTCTGTCTGTCTGTCTGTCTGTCTGTCTGTCTGTCTGTCTCTCTCTCTCTCTCTCTCTCCTCTCTCACACACACACACACACACACACACACACACACACAGTTTGCCATCACTGCTAACCCTGCTCCCTCCTTTAGCTTTTAACCTCCCAGCCTCCTTCCTCTGCCCACTCCCCACCCCCTCCACAGGTTTTGCAATTTTATTCTAGACAGGGTTTTTCATTGGTTCCCACAAATAACAATAGTAGCAATAAGAATGTTACCTTACATTTGCATATCCTTTTACAATTCCAAAATGCTTTTTTATGTATCATCTCATTTCCTCAAGAAATAAAAGACTATGCTCTTTAAAAAAAGAAAAGAAAAATCCTTTCAAGTGATTCTGCCTTCAAGCCACTAACCAACCTGCATACCTGCATCTCTCCCCCTCCAGCCTCCAGCTCCCTGATTCCTCTTCCACAATGTATTTGAAGGGTGTATAAGTAATTGGTGAGCAGGCTCCTTTCCAAGAAAGCCAGTTCTTCATCCTTCCCTCTAGACTGCATCCTATAAGATACCTTTTTTGCAAGGTTTCTGTCATCTTGTAATGAACTCTACAGATTCTTAAAACTGAATCCCCTGCCTCAATCTTGATTTGAGCATCTCTTGACACTCAACAGGCATTGAAAAAGAACTTGTATTCAATACACACACACACACACACACACACACACACACACACACACACACACACCTTAACCATTCAACAATAAAAAGACAAATAAGTTAACTTTAAAAAGGGGGGGCAGTTGGTTGGGTACCCTTGGCTCATGCCTGTAATCTAGCTACTCAGGAGGCTGAAATCTGAGGATGATGATTCAATATCAGCCTGGGCAGAAAAATACATGAATTTCCCATCTCTAATTAACCACCAAAAAGCTGGAAGTGGAGCTGTGGCTCAAGAGGTAGAGTGCTAGCCTTGAACAAAAGTGCTCAGGGACAGTGCCCAGACCCTGAGTTCAAACTCCAGCACAAACCAGAAAAAAAGGGGAGAGGGCAATAGATCTGAAGAGATGATAATCCAAAGAAGCTACATGAATGGCCAAGGAGTAAGTGACAAGATATGCAGCATCGTTAGCTAGCAGGTAGACAGATGTAAATCAAAGCTACCATAAGAAACCTCTACACATACACCATGCTGGATGTTATCCAAGAGGACAAGAACATGGAGAATTTGAGACCTGCATGCACAGCTGGTAGGAATAATAAATGGTACAGCTACCTGGAAAAGTCTCTCTGTTCCTCCAACTGGGAAGAGTACAATAGGAGTCTACAGCTCTACTCTCTCCTCTGTGCATGTTCAGGAAAAATGAGGACATGTGTCCACATAAAAACTTTAATGTTCATCGTAGCCTTGTTTACAATAGCCAAACAGCCAATCCAAATATCCACCAGCTGGTAAATGAGAAATAAAATATGCTATACTCATAAAATGAATCATTTGACAATAAAAAGAAATGATATATGGATTCATGGTAAAAAAAAAAATACTAGATGGCCAGGGATCAGTGGCTCATGCCTGCAATTTAAGCCACTCAGGAAGTTGAGATCTAAGGATCATGGTTTAAAGCCAACCTGGGCAGAAAAACATGTGAGACTCTTATCTCCAATACACCAACAAAAAGCTAGAAGTGGAGCTGTGGCTCAAGTGGTAGAATACCAACCCTTAGTAAAAAAGCTCATGGACAACACCTAGGCCCTGAATTCAAGCCTCAGTATTGGCGCGCGCACACACATACACACACACACACACACAACTAAATAAAAGAAACTAGCCACAAAGGGCCACACATAGTATATGATTCTCCAGATATGGGGAAAGAAGACTGGGTCCTGCTAATGAGTGTAGGGATGATGAATATGTTCTAAAATTAGGGGATTGTGGAACATTCTGAATAGCTTAAAAAAAAAACCCTGAGGTATATACTTCACAAGAGTGAATTGTACAGCGTGTCAATTATATCTTAAAGCTGTTATTTTTAAAATGTGAAGAGGTGTTTAAATGCTAACTGAGTGCCTGGCACACCGTAAGCCACCGTAAATATTATTAAAGGAATTTATAAAGGAGAGAAGGCTGATCTATTTCCTCAGTGCAAGCCTGTAGCCCACGGAGCTCCACCCACAGCAATCATTCAGCACTAGAGCCTTGTGTAGATCCTGCTGGGGCAAGTCACCAGCTGGCTCTGAACCTCAACTAGACTTTTGTGTAAGTTCCCAGCAGGCTGGAACACTATGCTTTGTCAGCAGAGGAGTTTCTAAAATCCTCTAAATTCTTGCA